TTTCATTTAAAAATGGCCTCGAGCTCATTATAAAATTGTTGAATATTTTCTTAAATTTTTTATAAAGTTTGAAACGGCGATTAATATGGTTTCGGTTAAAAAATATTTAGAAATAATAACAAAAAAAAAAATTAACGAATATAAAAAAAAATTAACACGTAGTCATTTGTTTGAGTCACTGTGTATGTAAATGCACTTATATTTACATAAAATATATCAGCTACATGTGACAATTAAGAATGTGCTATGAACAAATTGCATTTAAGCTGTATGCATTTTAGCAGCTGTTTATATAAAAAATGAAAAAGTTGAGTAATTATTTTTTAAATTCCCGAATGACACCTATTGCAGAAAAAATTTAGGTAATATTTTTAAATAGCACAGCAGTTATCATTTTGACAGAGTCACAGTAAATACTACAGGAAAAAATGAATGGTCTACGTGTGCTTGTGGCTATATTGCTGCTAAGCAATGTCTTTGTAAATATTTTTGCGGTTAAGGCGACATCAGAAGAAGGTAGGCGTGATAATGAAATAAAAGTTAATAAAAGGAATGTACAATGTACATACATATTTATCAAAGTAGTTCTCAAAAATGTAAAGACTTTTTGAAAATGCTAAAGTATTTTAAAATTTTATATTTGGATGTTTATAATAAATATTTGCAGTTTGCAGTCAATCCCTTATAATTGGACCTTGTCGTGGTATGATCCCGCGTTACTACTATAATGCCGACTCGAAAAGCTGCCAAGGCTTTAGTTATGGTGGCTGCCACGCGAATGGGAATAACTTTGAAACTCAAGAGGACTGTGAAGATAAGTGTATGACAGGCTGAATAATATGCTGTACATACAAGGATTTTTCCAATTCTAATTTTACTTTCTCAAATTCAGTGACATATTTGATGTTGTTTAGTAAATCAAATATTTAATATTTTTTTTTTATTTTGTATCTCTTTTTATTATACACTTCCTTTTATTATATGTAATAGCTGCAAAAACAAAAAAAAAAAAAACAAATAAAAAAATTCGAATTTTAGAAGAGGAACATATGCATGTACATATCCATCATTTACTTCAAAACAAAAAATACAAAAATTGTGTTAAGTAGGCAGAGATTGCCCCTGCTCCTTCTTCTATGTTGTGTAAAAATTTCAAAGATGTATTGATTATAATAATACCGGTAATTACCGGTATCCCACTAGAGCAAAATATGTATTCGTTTTTACTAAGGGAGTATTTATACGTAAATTCAAAACTTTTTAAATTTTTTGAACATTGAAAAGCAAAGAGAGTTTGGGTTATTTTCAGGGACCGTAACGGTTATAAGTTTTATTATAAAAATCACTTTT